GAATCCTTCACCTAATTAATGAGAGGTGAGTCTCTTAACCTACTGCCCAGGTCCCATGGCAGATTAGTAACACTATTGCTTTGATGGATCTTTTTAAGTGCTCCTCTCGGGAAAGATATTTGAAAGTCACATTTAAATAAAGATCCAAAAATTACTGAACATTAATTCTCCTCTAGTCTCAAATGCTATTTCTGGCGAAGGTTATGGAGGCAATTTTAATGGGAGAAATATACCATTATTTAGTTACCCTGATTCCCAATATGCAGCAAAGGACTTCTGCTAATCTTTTATTCCCTGACCTTCTCTAATGATATAATGAATTTCATTCATCTTGGAAACATAGAGAATGAAGTGAAAAAGAAAAGAACTAGAGCTCATGGAGGTTTATTTTATCTCTTCAACCCAAACACAACCTTCAGGGAGGTTGCATCAAAATGCTTGATCATAGCATTCACATGACTTGAAATTTAATGATGTATCCAAGAATATCTTTCCATTTTCTCTCCCTTGTCTTACCCTCAAATGATACATTAGAGTGAAATCAAAGAGGATTTTTTTCTCATATAAACCTCTATAAAGTGGAAAAGAACCAAAATACAATTCACTCCAAAAGGTAGTAAAACTCAAGAGAGTATAAATACTTGCACTAAGATGTGAGCTTGTTAACAGCAAAACCATGACTTGAGAGAAAATTGCCTGACACCAGTATTCTACCTCTTGCATGAGGCCACTTGAATGCAATTTATGAATCTAGAGAGAGGAAAAGAGAGAGAGAGAGAGAGAGAGAGAGAGAGAGAGAGAGAGAGAGACATTGACTGGTTGCTTCCCACATGCACTCCCACTGGGGATCATATCCACAACCTGGATATGTGCCCTAATGGAGAATTGAACCTGCCACCTTTTGGTGTATTGGACAATGCTCCAACCAACTGACCTACATGGACTAGGGCTGAAATAGTCTTTCTTCTTCATTCTTCTTCTTCTTCTCCTCCTCCTCCTTCTTCTTCTTCTTCTTCTTCTTCTTCTTCTTCTTCTTCTTCTCCTTCTTCTTCTTCTTCTTCTTCTTCTTCTTCTTCTTCTTCTTCTTCTTCTTCTTCTTCTCCTCCTCCTCCTCCTTCTTCTTTCTTCCTCCTCTTTCTTCTTTTAATCAAACATATACCTTCCCTGCCCTGTCTTAACACAAAAATTTAAAATTTTGTTCAGATGTCAAATAAAAAAATTATGGAATTGCAATTACATTTAAATTTTATAACCTGTAAAGTAAAAGCCCCTTGTGGGAGAAAAACAAAGGGGAAATTAGTTTCAAATATTTTTAAATTTTACAATACTTTTAAGTAAAGAGATATATTCAGAAAAACCACCTAAATACTAACTAATGGCAGAGGAAGACATTAAAAATACAAAGTAATGCTAAATCCAACTTCGCAAAGTGTTTCTACTCTCAGGAAGGCAAAAGACCAATGAAGGAAGAAATTAGACTAGTGGTGGGTGAGACTGGAAATCAAAATGCTCCGGATGGCAAAATTCGTCTATTAAAAAGAGAAAGAGGAATATAATTCACATATTAAATGAACACAAAGTATCTGTCATCAAACATTGATTTTGCATTTAAGCAACATAGGGGACCTCAGTCAAAAAGCAAAGATAAGCCAGCAGTGCAAAGCCACAGCACTATAGGGAAATTATCAGAGAATTTTATTTCAGGGAAAATGAGAGCACAGTTAATATACTAGTTAAATGAAAGGCTAGTTTATCTTTCTGTATACAGATGTAAATCCTATTATCTGCACAGGAAGTTCATGCATATCTGGGAGAGCCACTGCTTTCTCCCTTGAGTGAGAAAATAGGACTGTGAGTAGCAGCATGCTGGCAGCGATTATAGGTGGTATTAATGAAGTCAGGGCACGGATGGGACTTCTTCTAAGACACTCATCCTCAATGGAAAAGGGCTTTGCAATATAAGCCAAGGATCACCTATTTAACACTGATTTACATAGGGCTCTCAATGGGGAGAGCAATGAATTTGCCCCCCAGATCCCAGAATTTCTATCACATGTTGCTACCATAGTTAAGACACAGGAACTTTCTCAGGTTAGCCCCGCCATCTGCTGTCAAATATACAACATCCTCTCTTGGGCTTAATTTAGTATTGATCTTATTTATAGTAAGTCTTCCAAAGAGTATATTCCATACCCTTTTATATTACTAATACTTAAATTAACTAAAAAATGCCACAACTCCCTCCCAAAATGCATGTACCTCTTTAATATACACCCAATAAATAATACATACATTTATATGAAGATTCTCAATGGCCACTAGTACCAGTAGATACCACTACATAAAAGTGTACATAACTATAAGTAATGGAAAGAAGCAGTTTATAGTTTCCCAGAGGCATCAGTGTTAATTTTTAGGACAAATGCTAATCACATACTAGGAATTAACTAGAAAGCACTCAGCTGGTAAACATAGTCAAGTTTGAGCTTTATTTGGACTCCATGCCAATTGGTAAGAGGCTAGGAGGTCAATAGGATACTTGCCCAAATATAACATCTGCCAGTTGTGGTAGCACAAAGGGTAGGATCTAGTCTGACACTCTGGGCAGATATTGCACATATTTCAAAGTAGTTCCTTGTAGCCAGAATGCTATGGCTGGCTTTCTCCCTATGCTAACCTTGTGTCCCCAATGAATGAAGATGTGGGGATTTCTTGGAGAAGCTGGGAAGATGATTCAGTCACCAAAGATCAGCCCTAGGGCAATAAACTTATAGAAACAGAGAGGAAATGAAATCACTTTTGAATCTCTCATTGGATGTGGGACAGGTGAGATATTCCTGAAAGTGGGGAAGGGGGACCTTACTGAAGAGCAGAGCTTCCGGTCCTGGATGCTAGCTGGCTATGAATACAGTTGACTCTATAAACTTATGTGAACAGTTATGAGGTGTTTTTTGTTTATTTTGCTTTTGTTGGGCTTTCCTATGAAGTAGGGAAAAAAAGTGATGTGTACCTTGTGTGTGTATGTTAGTGGCACATACTCCTTGGGACACGCCTGGGGGTGTATCATATGCTTGTGAATGTCATCAGATAGGGCGTAACGCTCAGCTGGTGTCACTGAAAGTCTATTCTCCACTTAGGGGGTGGTTGGCATTAGTGTTTTTGGGAAAAGGTGAAACACAAAGAACAAGGCAATTTGGGGGGAAGTAGGTGAAGAAGCAGCAACTGTTGAGTAGAGTATTCTCGATTCTTCAGGACAGCAGCTCCCACTTCTGCAGCTGCAGATGGTTAAGAAATTTTAGAACCAGAAATAGTATCAGATAAGAAGCAACTACACCTAAGGCAATAGGGCAGGAAAAGACAGAAATGGTGTGCAAGAACCCAGGACCACGGTGCTAGGGACAAGGACTTGCTGTGCTTAAAGACCTAAGTGTTTGTATTAGCTGAACACAAGAAATGAAACCCTAAAGCCAGGGAAAGTTAAGAGAGTTAAGAGTTAAGAATCCCTCTATATTCTCAAAACATATTACAATGCATAATAAACTAGAATTATTCATCTACTTAACTGTCTCCCTCACTAAATCTTTAGCTTTTTTAAAAAAAGATATTTTTATTGATTTCAGAGAGGAAGGGAGAGGGAGAGAAATAGAAGCATCAATGATGAGAGACAATAATTGATCAGCTGCATCCTGCACACTGGGGATTGATCCCACAACCAGGGCATGTGCCCTGACTGGGAATCTAACTGTGACCTCCTGGTTCATAGGTTGACACTCAGCCACTGAGCCATGCTGGTCGGGCTACATTGTTAGCTTCTATAAGAATTGGAACCATGTCTTACTCCTCTCTCTGCCTGTCCCCAGCACCTCAGGTAATACTTGGCATAGAGTAGAGCAGCGGTTCTCAACCTGTAGGCCATGACCCCTTTGGGGGTCGAATGACCCTTTCACAAGGGTCGCCTAAAACCATCGGAAAACATATAATTACATATTGTTTTTTGTGATTAATCACTATGCTTTAATTATGTTCAATTTGTAACAATGAAATTGGGGGTCACCACAACATGAGGAATTGTATTAAAGGGTCGCGGCATTAGGAAGGTTGAGAACCACTGGAGTAGAGGCTCTTTTTTATTGAAAGGGAAAGTACAGAGGCTCTTGGAAGAGGCAGCTGATTAGGAGAAAGAACATAATGGTGGTATTCAGGAAACTGCCATTGTAGTTCTGTCTCTGGCAGTGAGACCTTGGAAAGCCATTTTACATTTCAGAAACTTGGTTTCTTTATTGACAAAATAAATCTATTTTTTTCAAGATAACTCTAAAATTCTATTACTTTAAAAATAAAATTGGGGTGGGGAGGTTGTTTCCTTATAGTAGTTAAGTACCAGTTCTGACTAGATATGGCACCTTCAAAAATGGTATAAAAACCCAAATTTTTAAGATTTTAACTCAGCTCAGAAGTACTAGTATACTAAACACTTAAAATTAAATCAACTACTGCCTCAACAATAATGTTCATCTCTCTAAATCTCTCCCAAATGAAAATATACTGCTCTTACCATTCCCATATAAAAGTTCTGAGGTTTGTTATTGTTTTGTACTAGTTTCATTTTTGGTTGGAAAGTGAATTACTAATGTTATATATTAAGTTGAGAAGGTCTTTGTAAAAGAAATTAAAAATTGTATGTATTCTGAATGTCTTTCTTTTTTTCATTTCTCCAACAGATTTATTTTTGGGGAAAAGGAATAGATTTTGAGGAGTTCAAAACATGAAGCAGAGAAGTGTGGAGTAGAAAATAAATACAAATGTAAGCTGCTTTGTTAATTGTTTTATAATCACAGAAAATGAGTATATAGAATGCCCTGTACAAAACACACAATAAAGGTTCAAGATCAAGGTGTTTCTTTAGGCAGAGCTGACGATTTCAGTCTCTGGTACTTGGAATTTAGACTGCAGTCCTTGCTTTTGGATGGATCACTGGGTATGTGTCATAGTCCATGCTTTTAACCAGATTTGAATAGTAGAATGATCACTTGGCCCAGGTAGAAGTAGATGAAGTGCTCGGTTTTATGTGTCAGGTAACTTCCAAAGTTCCTCCCCTCTAAGGAGTTGGACTTGTTGTTACACTCCTTTTTCATATGGGTCGAAATGTCCTTCTCTATGTTATATTTCTCCAAAGCCTGAATAGCACATTCCACAGAGTCCTGTGGCATCTCCTCCAATGCTTCGGCATTTTTGATCACCGCCTTTTGGTGGCACATGGTTCCAGTGGAGCAGGAGCTGGCTGACTACAAGGGTCTCCTGAGGGAGGGACTGACTGGGCTCAGATCCTGAGGGAGAGCCGTTGCTACCAAAGCCGTTGTGTGCATCTCTATTCTCGATGTCTTTATTCTTCCAAAATGAGGGAGTTGTATAAAGACTGAGAACATTTAAAATGAATTGTGTAAGAGCATATTTATTTGTTTAATTATCTGTGTAAGCCGTAGTATAATGAAAATATTGTAATTGTGCTACTTTTCAAAGAAACACTAAGGAGAAAATTGTAAACATCATGGATGGGGAATTATGCACACAAAGACTAATAGCTACAATAACGTTATTCAGAACTGTGCTGGTAATTTGCCCCTTAGGGGGTAAATTTGGAAAAAATATGTGTAAGGTTTAGTCATGTGACTAACACTTAATGGGCATTGTACTGCAAAAGCCACACACACCACATTGAACATTTAGTAATAATTATTTATTTTAGTTATTCTCCTGGCACTTCTCTAGTATCTGCAATTGCTATGGTCTCAAAAACAGCATCTTTTGTATGGCACCCGCCCAACAAGTTAAAATGCACTGGTGGTTTACAACATAGAATTAGCAATTAGATTTTTTCTTTCAACACTTCATTCCTAAGGGCTTAGTCTAAAGAGGAAAAAAATAAAATAAAATGAGTCAATGAAATTCTTCTTTCCTGAGACCTCAGAATCTCTGCTGGTAGTCTTTTTATTAAGTGTTTTACTTAGGGATTATTAGTCTATGTTCGAGAAAATGGCTTGCTTTATGGATAGAAGAGCAATCTATGTGTTGTTTGTGAACGGTGCTGGTTATTCTGCATTTGCCAGCTCCCACTCTACTTATTTGCTTGAGGAGACTAATTCATAGGCATTACATCTCCCGCACTCACTTGTTAGTTGGCTTCCGGTTGAGTAGATCAATGGCATCAGCATGTAAGAAGGGCTTTGACATCACCTCTCTGTCAATACTGTACATTGTCAGGACTGCAGCTTCCTCTGGTGCAGGCCTTTTCCCAGGACTGCAACTCGCATTGGAATTCTGTACTGATTTTCATGTCTCTTGTCCTTTGCACCCCAGAGGATTAATTGCATCCGACCATTGCCAGTCTATGGGTGCCATATCATTCCTATGTATTCCCTGATTTGTCCATATCTTCAAACTTTAATAGAAATCTCATCATTTGCACCATCTGAGGTGAATGCTGTCTTTTTCCAAGACACTAGCCATAAGTTCTAAAGCACTTAATAATAGTCATTGATAATTGATTTTTAGCATGTTGAGTTATTACTTCATTACAGGTCAATATTGCTATTACAGTTGTCTGTGCACAGTTTCTTTCTGTAACAATGTACTATAATGGACACTGTGATGCTCTATCCAAAGAAGTAAATGACTAGATTAACTGAAACAAATTGAAAAAGTCCTTTGTTTCAATTTGGGCTAACTCTGAGGATCATCTCAACTCCAGATCTTGCCATATTGGACTGATGCTTCATTATTACACCATATGGGTCAGCTTCTCTATCTGCCCAATCTTACAGATCTATCTCCTGAGAGCAGGCCCTGATAAATTTTCTGCATGTAATTCTCAGTTTCTAAGACGTTTTCCAGGGAATCCAATCTAAGTCATGCTGTCACTGAAGTCAGCCTGGACTTGAGCTAGTTGAGGAATATAGCTAAAGCCCCAAATTCAGCAAATACTTAGACCATGACTATAAAAATCAAATCCTCTTATAGTCCCTCACTAAAAAAAAAAAAAATCACCATAGCCACTAGTGCAGCTATTACTGAGAATAGAATATACACTTTCTCCTTTCCAGTATTAGAGCTCTTTTTAACTAGGTACCCTCAGAGAATGACTTCAGTCTTGAAGAAATTGTCTTGTGTTCCATCAGGTACTAACTAGGTGGACAGACATTTGAATTGTTCTCACCAGTAATTTCCCAAATCCTCTCTCCTATTTTCTGGCCTTATTCCCTTATTTAAAAAATGTGACTGCCACTGCCTGTCGTAATGGGTTGTTTCCATGAAAGAAAATGAGAGTATTGGCTTCTACCTGAGGCAGGCAGCTTGTTATGACTCTAAGAGGTGAAGAAAGTCAGTCTTTAAAGAGAACTGATAAAAAGTAATCACTGCCCTCCCTGGCCAGGGTGGCTCAATTGGTTGGAGTGTGATCCTGTCCACCAAAAGGTTGCAGGTTCAATTCCCAGTCAGGGCACATATCTAGGGCGTAGGTTTGATCCCCAGTTGGGGCACATAGGAGGCAACCCAGGGATGTTGATGTTTTTCTCTCACATTGATGTCTCTCTCTCTCTCCTTTCCTCTCTCTAAAAATCAATAAAAACATATCCTCAGTGAGAACAACAACAACATCAAAAAAGCAATCACTGAGTCAAGAAAAGTTCAGATAACAGGTTTAAGTTTAAAGTTTGAATTATAAAAAGGAGAATATTGATAGGGATGGGTTGGGGCAAAAGCAGGTCAGCAACAAATGAAGAGAATTCTGGGCATCTGTACAAAACACCTTGGGCTTTAGAGTCTTGCCTACAGGTGTGTGGATAAGGGTGAACAGGCAGGAAAAAAAGATTATTTCCTTCCTCACAATCTTTCTTCTCCCAATGATTCCTGGGGCAAGAATCATTAGTAGGCTGATGACTGCTTTCAGTGAGGAGCCGGGGAAGCTCAGAGAAGCTACAAACAGCAGGGTTCTCAGTGCAAGCCACGGCAGTCAGCTAGAATGAGTGAGGAAACCAGAGTCTTGGAAGCAGAATGAGGGAGGTAAGCACAGAGACTTTAAATCTGCAGCAATGTAATTAGCATCAAGAAGGAATGTCAGCATAATATGCATATAAGGTAACTGGATATCTGAAATTACATTTAAATGAATTAAGTCTACTGAAAATGATCAATAATAATTTTAAGGCTTCCTTATAAAATCAACACCATGTAATTCTTCAGATGCTTTTTTTTCTACACACAACAGTTTGAAATAAAATCAAAACAGAGAAAAAACAGAGATGACCATAGTGATTGAAGAAACTTTAAATGACCAGTCAATGTTCTTTGGAAATATATGTTTAAATATCATAGCTTAAAAGCTTACATTAGTTTCTGTTTCAGCGCTTGAAAGTTAGCAATAGAACAATGCAATTTTCTTTGCAATAATGATAGTCTTGCTGTGCTTACTTAATATAAACAAAAGATAAAAATTGCTCAATAATACAATGTGTTTATTTACCTCCCATTCTCCTCAATAGAGTCTAGCTAAATAAAAAGGTAATTTGAGGTTAGTCTTTCATGGAAATGTTCTTTTAATGAAAAATAAACCTATTTTAACTAATGCTCATTTAAACAGATTTAGAATTAAGAATCCTCTTTGAATTCAGACTAATACATTTAAGTACATTCTAAGTACTTGTAGTCCAAACAGATTTTTACCAAAATATTTATTACTACAGCAGGCCGGATTGAGGTTGACTGACACTACAAGTAATGGAGACAGAAACACTAATAGAGTTACTCACAAAACAGTCTTAATGAACTGCAACTGTAATAACCATTTTGCAAGGTGTTTCTGCCCAATTTAACCACACCACGGAAGTAATACTTTTAGGAAGGGGTGACCTCCAAGTCTTCTTTTATTTTAGAAACTCAATAATCTTTCAGGCATTCTAATCTCATAATGCTTTACACAGGTAGCCATGTTTTCCCACAACATCTCAATACGAAGAGCAGATTTGTGTTCTGTTTCTTAGGAAGGCCATTGACAAGTCTGAGGCAGGAAGCACATGGTGCCTCTCAAGGCCGGCTTCTTCCATGTAAACCCATTCCCATAATGGGTGTGGGGAGGGGGCATGGAAGCTGGAAATCTAAGATGGCACCCAACATGTCCACCCCATTGTGAACATGCACTGTGATATCTTTCCACTCGAGAAAAGGAGTAAGACCTGTGAATATGATGGGATTGTTTCTCCCTTGAATATATTGGGCAAAGTGATGGGATAATCACTCTTGCTGGACTTGTAGAAGTAAGTTGGCCTTTTGTGAAGATGGTCATATGGCAGGGAATTGTAGGTGGCATCTAAGAGCTGAGGGCCTCAGTCCTACATTTGCAAAGAACTGAATTCTGACAACAATCACATGATTTGGAAGAGAATCTCAAGCTCTAGAAAGAGAATTTCAAGCCCAGATGACTTTTTGATTTTAACCTATGGGACACCTGATTTGGCTGGCAATGTCAACGGATATTGTTTTAAGCTACGAATTTGCTTCAAAGCAACAGAAAACTAATACAGAGGGTGAGGATGGGGATGGTTGGGAGTTGAATAATGTTAATGACTCCCCTGTGCTATTTATATAAATTATTTGGAGTTTCTCAAAGCTACCTTGGCACAGACCCTATTAGAAAAGAGTGAGGTATTATTGCCTAGTGGCTAAGAGAATGGACCTTGGAGTGAAGTTGCAGTTTGAATTCCCATTTTGCCACTTAATCATTGTTTTAACTAAAATAAGGAAATTAGCTTCTTTGTGCCTCAGCTTCCTCATTTATAAAATAGAGATAATAATAGTTCCTTGGGGTGTTGTAGCTATTAAATGGACTAAACCATACAAAGTGCCCAGCTGGATGCATAGAAACCATTCAATAAATTTTAGTTGTTAGGAGAGTTATGTTGAGAAATAGAAGCTCCAACACAGTACTTAGATTATTATTTTTTTTTCTTTTTGTCTCAGGTAATAAAAACATCTAGTAAATGGGGGTGGTTTCAGATGCTAACAGGCTGGGACACAATGTCATCAGGGTAGAGCTCTTGTTATCTCTCCGTACTTTCTTCTGTATTGTCTTCATTCATTTTTTGATGCCCCTAATAATAGTTAGATGACTTTAGTAGATACAAACTTCAAATACTTAGATCATACCTTATCTCCAAGAGAAAGAAGGAAGGAAGGAAGGAAGGAAGGAAGGAAGGAAGGAAGGAAG